ACACACACACACACACACACACACACACACACACACACACACACAGTGGAATATTACTCAGCCATCAAAAAGAATGAAATCTTGCCATTTACAACAATGTGGCTGGAACTAGAGGGTATTATGCTAAGCAAAATAAGTCAGTCGGAGAAAAACAAATACCATATGATTTCACTCATGCGGAATTTAAGAAACAAAACAGATAAAAATAGGGGAAGGGAAGAAAAAAAATAAGATGAAAATTGAGAGGGAGGCAAACCATGAGAGACTCTTAACTCCAGGAAACAAACTGAGGGTTGCTGGAGGGGAGGGGGAGTGGCTGATAGGGTAATTGGATGGTGGGCTTTAAAGCAGGAACGTGATGTAATGAGCACTGGATGTTATATGCAACTGATGAATCACTAAATTCTACCCCTGAAACTAGTAATACAGTACATGTTAACTAAATTGAATTTAAATAAAGAATTTTTTAAAAAAGAAACATTTAATATAAAAGCCAAGGTCAAAATATCAAAAAGAGGAGTGAATCAACAGCTTTACCTCTTTGTGTTTCATATCCAACTGACCCCTAAGGGCCTTAAGTTCTCGTTCACGGATGTCCAGGCAAGTTTCGAGAGCATGTGTCTGCCCTTCCCATTCAGATTTTTTATGAGCTACCATTATGTCAATCTGTTTCATGAGCTCTTGTAGTTCTGCTTCACAGGATGTCAAAAATCCCCTGTAAATAAGAACATATGCCCATGACTTTTTCTCTTTCACATGTAAAAATATAGCAGATGTGAAAAAAATATATATATATAGCAGATGTAAACACAGCTGAGGTGGAACGATGTCAGTAAAGAAATTATTAAGAGACAAAGAAAAGGATTTCTGCACTTTTCCCTTTAACATTCATATTAAGGTGATTACTTATGCCACTGCATACTTGGCCTTCCTCTAATAGCCAAGCCTGAATCCTAAGTCATTTGGTCAAACACAAGACCGATGTTTAAGTCCAGCTTGTGAGCGAGGCTTCCACAACCAACAACTAGCTCTTTTGTAATGTTTTAGGAATGCTCTTAGGAAAAATCCAGGCAAGCTTCTCACATTTTTAGCTAACCAAAATAAAAAGCCTTTGAAGTGAGTAGGGTATTGGGAAAATGACAATACAATTTTAAGAGCTGTTTCAAGAGCCAGATTTATTTCAACTATTTCTTCCCACCTTATTATTAGAAACTTACTGCAACGGACCTTATTGTAAACTGACAGAGGTCCATCACAGTTACAGGAGATGCCAGATATCTCAGAGGCAGAAAAAGAAGTAAATATAGATGTACTGGATTCAAATAGGTTTCCAGAAATGGCCACAGAAAGCTGTAGCTAGGAAGGCTTAAATACTTTTTTATAAAAGCATTTGTTCTTAGTGTACAAAACTTCTGAACTTCTACTTTTGCTTTTGAAGAGAAAATTGAGAGTGGAATGAAAGCAAGCAGCAAGCCATTGCTGAGATGAGGCAAACACCCCAAAGAGAGATGCTGTCCACAGACATGACATGAATCAGCTGAGCTTCCACTTAGCACTTTTGCTTCTATACCCAAAGCATAAAATGGTCAGAAGGATAACTTGGATATGCTTTTTAAACTCAGTGAGAAGCTTAAGGTCAAAAGCTAACTTACCCTTCATGTCCCCGATTTTGTATTCCTTCCAACAAAGCCTCCATCACCAACTCCCCTTTGTTTTGGCAACTGGGAAAGCAAAAAAAAAAAAAAAAAATCAGTCAGGAGAAAATACATTATAAGTTCTAACATTCCAACTTACAAACCTAAGAATGTGAAAGCATACAATAACAAATAACAATGAGAAAATGCAGCACTTCTTAGGATGACTGTAGAAGCAGTCAAGGAACATCACTTCAAGAAATATTCAAACCAAATACACTTCAGGCTAAAAGAAAATAACTTTTAATGATCTGAATTGCTGCTGACACTCTCCCCACATGATAGAGATCATACCTCATTGTTGTACCCCTGTGAACCAAGAGGGCTAAAAGCAGAGGGACACTGACACAAAGCCTCTCACAAAATGAGGGGAAGTAATTAGGGGTCACACATGTCAGAGGAAAAGCAGATCTCTTTTTTTTTTTTTTTAAGAGACATTATAAAATGCCCTGAGCTTGAACTCTTTGGTCCATCATGGGAGATCTTACCCACACCCTTCAGATGACAGGCCCGTGAAGCTTCCTAGAACACTCTCCCTTCCCTCAAAGGCAACTATATAGGCCCTCCCTCCTCTACTTCCCCACTGCTAGTCTTTAACAGGTTCTTTCACAGGAGTTACACCACCCTGGGAATGAGGTTTTTGCACACCTTTTTTCCTTACTATTCTAAATCTAATTTTATTCACCTCCGCAGCTCAAGAGAGCTAGTGTAGCATCTCAGTATGGTACATGTTAGATGTTTTTGGCTGAACTTATCACAATTCCCCTCCCTTTTCCCTCTCCTTTTGTGCAAGCTGGTCACAGAGAAGCATCTGGTAGAGAAAGAAGGGAAGGAGACAGAACAGATGCCATAGAAAGGGAAAGACACATCATAAAGAAAGGAAGGTGAGGAGGAGAGGTAAAAGATTACCCTTCAATTCGGAAGTGCCAGTGAGAAGTACCTGTTGGTGGCTTCTCACCTCTACAAAATGTTAACCAATGTCAAACTACTTCTCACTCCTGAGACACTGTTTCTTCCTTAAGCCTTCAAAGGCTCAGCCCTGACTTAGTCTTTAGGTAATTCTGAAAAGCTGTGGTGGGAGGTTCTACCCTTTTGTCCTAATGCCTCGTGTAAAAATTACAAGGCTCTGGAAGGGAACTCCTTCATTTAACAGAGAATTCGGTGTCGTACTAACCACCAGATACACAGTGATGAAAGACATGCTCCTTTTCAAGGAATTAATAATCCAGTACGGGAAATAAAAAATTAACCCAAAATGTTCCCCCAAGTATAATAAATGTAGTGACAGAGGTGAGGACAGGGTGTCCTGGAGACACAGAGGAGAATGGAAGACTGGAAAATACAACTAACTACTGCATGCTATTTGCATCCATTTCTGAAGTTACTAACAGGAGTATTTAACTATTTATGCACAAATATGGCAGAGAGGCTTTTTCTCCAGCTGGCTTACCCTTCACATTACACCAACATTAAATAAATTAAAACCTAAAGAAAGAGGTTTTCATGTTCTAATTCACTTTCTTTCAAACCATCATATGGTCAATTACAGCACAGTCTAGATTCCATGTCTTATTCCACTCTGGGGACCTGCCAGGCAGGGCCCAGTTCACACAGTGCCATGTGGATAAAAACCCAGGAGAGAGTCCTACTCTGCAACTAAGTAGCTTTGTGTCCTTGGACTTCAGTTTTTGCATCTGTAAAATGAGCAGGATGAACTATAATCCCCAAGGTTTCATTGCATTCTAGTAGCCAATTAAATGTCCACTCCAAGTAGCATGCTCTTGCCTACTGTACACGGATATTTATTAAATCTGTAAGAAAGTGCTATTCCTAAGGACAGTGCCACTACAGTCATTCAAAACTATCATCAGTAAAATTATAATTCTTTAGGTCATTTCCTTCTTAAACATTAATATACTTAGCAATATAAATTTCTAACACATTTAGTAATATATTAATATATTTTCTAGATGACATTATTAATAATTAGCGATGTTTATGACAGAAGGTAACAGTCACTGAGTGTGCAACTGTTCTGCCGCCTATACACTTGTCTAATTCATTCTTCACAACACTCATAAAAGACAGACACTATTACTTTGAGGAAACTGAGGCTTGGAGGGTTAAATAGGTTGACTACACTATTACTTTGAGGAAACTGAGGCTTGGAGGGTTAAATAGGCTTGGAGGGTTAAATAGGCTTGGAGGGTTAAATAGGTTGACTATAACTACACATTATAGTCATAGGATCAAGCCTAAGCGGTGACTCCCAAGTCCCAACCAATGTGCAATCTTTATAAATTTTACAGGATTCCAGATCTTAAAATACCTTCCTATTTTCTTTTGGTTTAAAAGTGTCTTCTTGGCAATAAATGAAACCAAACCAAAACGTCTGGGTACAGGAAAAAATGCAAACGCACCACCATGGACACCAGATGGCAGTAACACGACAGTGAAAATAGTCCACATCTTGGGAAATTGCCATTTCAGAATTAAAAATAATGGTCTAAGACTAAAACAAAGAGATCTCTGTTTTTAAAAAATGGGGGTGGGGGATCAGCAACATTCTCTGTAGAAAATAATCCTACTGTTGTGTAATGTATTTCTTTACCAACACCTTCACCATCTGTTTGAATAGCTGCCAAACACCACCAGTTCTCATTCCTTAGAATCAGGTAAATAGCAAGGGCTCAGATTTTCTGTGGACTTTTCTGAGTTTCTCATAGCTACATCACCAATTCCTTCCTAACCACACGGAACCTCATTTAACTCTATGTACTATGTCATTCTGCTTTCTTCTTTTACCCGGGCCATGTAATAATGATGTAAAGTTAGATAATCTTTGTTCATAATAAGAAATGCAAATTTACTCACTGTTCGATAATCTACTACTCCTTGCCACTAACATAAAATGGTAATGTGATTACATAAAAACTGTGTAGCTCTACAACTGTCATTTCTGCAGTTAAACCAAGACATCAACAAATATAAGTTATTAATTATAATTCTCCTTTTATTTATTATAACTCTCCTTTGGAATGAAGGCTGTTCTAAATCAGTGAAATCTAGAATAGGAGGCTTAAAGGGAATACAGGGTGGGAAGCAGGGAAAACACACTTTAAATCATAGGGGGAAAAGAGTCCAGATAGGATATCTAATAATAGGCAAAGCTTTGAAATTCATTAGCATATTGGAATTTAAGAGCTAGGAAGGATCTGAAGGTCTCCCCTTTAACCTCTTTATTTTACAGATCAGGAAAAATATTCTGAGTATAATCCCATGATCAAATTACTCACAAAATGAGACACAGGAAGAAAATAAAAGCTCTGGATAGAATTATGAATTAATGTGTACTAATAGAAGGGATATCCCTACCCATCAAGTCTCATTTAAAGGAGGATAATGATACTATGTTACTATGTTACATATATACATACATATGTATACATATATGTATACATATACATACATACTATGATTACAAAGATCTAGGGCTCTGTCAGATTTACTATGGCTGATAAACTGGCTGCTCCAATAAACAATAATTTACCATTGCCCAGAAAGGTTCCTATTTAAACTTAAGGGGAAAAAAAAAATCACAGATAAAGTATCAAAGAAATTTTCCAAAACAAAAGTGGAATTTTAAAACATTGATCAAACTAGGACTCAAAATCCAAAAAGAATGAGGAGAAAGACTGAGAAACCAGAATAGATAAAAATACACTTTTACATGGGAAAAATGCCATAAGCAAAGTCTAAAGACGACAGTATTTGAAAGTTTTATCAGAGAAGGTTATTTATCCAAATATATAAAAAGCTTCTAAAAATTGAGGGGGGAGGGGTGCCTGAGTGGCACAGTTGGTTAAGCACCCAGCTCTTGGTTTCAGCTCAGGTCATGATGATCTCATGGGTCATGAGGATCATGATGGCCTGTGTCTGGCTCTGCGCTCAGTCCAGAGTCTGCTTGAGTTTCTCTCTCCCTTGCCCTCTGCTCCTCCCCCCAGCTCGCTCTCTCTCTAAAATAAATAAATAAATCCTAAAAAAATAATAATAATAAAATTAAAAATTGAGAAGGGAAAAAAGGAATCTATAGAAAAATGGGCAGAAGATATGAACAAGTAGTTCACAGAAAAAGAAATGCAAATGACCTTAAACATATGAGAAGATCAGCATTATTTCCAATAGCCAAGATACGGAAGCAGCTCAAGTGTCCAACGATTGATGAATGGATAAAGAAGAGGTGAGATGGATATAGAGATAGATATAGATATAATGGATTAATATATACATATGTATGTCCACGGATACATACATATGAGGGAATATTACTCAGCCATAAAAAGAGAATGAAATCTTGCCATTTGCAATGACAAGGATGGAGCTAGAGAGTATAATGAGTATAATGCTAAGTAAAATAAGTCAGAGAAAGACAAATACCATATGATTTTACTCATATATTTAAGAAACAAATGAGCAAAGGGAAAAAAGAGACAGAGAGAGAGACACAAACCAAGAAACAGACACTTAACTATAGAGAACAAACTGATGGTTACCAGAGGGGAGGTGGGTGGAGGGATGGGTGAAATAGGTGATGGGGATTAAGGGATGCACTTGTCTCGATGAATACTGGGTAACGTATGGAATTGCTGAATCACTATATTGTACACCTGAAACTAATAAAACACGGTATGTTAACTAACTGGAATTAAAATAAAAACTTTCAATTAATTAAATTAAAACACACACAACAAAACATATGAAAAGATGCTCCATCTTGCTTACAAGAAGAGAAATACAAATTTAAAATACACCAAGTTACCCTTTCTTCTATATTTAGATTAAGCAAAACTCAAAACTTTGACAATACACTCTTATGACAGATATATTTATGGGAAAATGGGCCCTCATATACACTGTAGGCAGGAACGGAAAACGGTACAATTTCTATAGAGATTTTGGCAATCCCTAGCAACTAAGAAATATGACTTCACCCTTTGATCCAACAATGCCACTTCTAGGAAGCTATCCCAAAGTCACACTGGCAAAAATACAAAATCACATATGCACAAGGACACACAGTGCAGCACTATATGCAACAGTAGGACGCAGCACAAAGGCCTGTCAACAGGGACTAGTTGAATATTCATCCACCAGTGGAATATTATGAAACTGTAAAAATGGATAACATACTTCTTCTAAGGAGGATCTACAAGGCACATATTACTAGGGGGGAGAAGCAAGTAGATGATGCATTTGTTTTTATGGAAGGATAAACCCAAAGCTAGTAAATATGATAACCTATAAGGAAGGGAACTAGGGGGTGCCTAGGTGGCTCAGTCGGTTAAGCATCTGCCTTCGGCTCAGGTCATGATCCCAGGGTCCTGGGATCGAGTCCCACAACAGGCTCCCTGCTCAGTGGGGAATCTCCTTCTCCTTCTGCCCCTCCCCCCTCTGCTCATCCTCTCTTACTCTCTCTCTCTCAAAATAAATGAATATTTTTTAAAAAAAGAAAGGGAACTATGGTGGAGAAAAGAGGAATGAACACTAAACTTGTCTGGATATCTGTAGTTTTATGGTACTGTTTTACATATAATAAAACAAATCCAAATGGGAATAAAAAGCAGTATGAAAAAATTGGAAACAAAATGAAACAGATCAACTATCAATTAGATATCAAGGCGGAAAACTAAACATATAACAAAATGTTTCACATGCCTTTAAAATGCAATAATTCTACTGTACATATCCCAAGTAGGATATAACTAAAGATAAAAAGAGAACTGCAAAGAAATCCTAAACACTATTCAGGAATCATATTGTTAATAATAAAATTGGTATAATTAATTTGAAATTAATATATATAATATAGGATTAAAAAAAGTAATTATGTTAATGACATTAGGTTCCAAGATTTTCAGCAAGACAAAAAGACCCAAATATATAAACAAACACAAAAAATTAAATTAAAATGTAACTATCAGTTTGAATTCTGTATATTTGTTTAAAAATATATATATTTCCTAACTCTGGCCACTGTAAACCCTAAAACCATTGACCAACCTGGCACTATAAGCACCTCTAGTACCCAGACTGTGGTCTGTAAATACCATCTCCCACCAAAAGGAACCAGGGCTTTTTGGTGGCTATTAATGGATAAATAAGGGAGGAACATGTTTTACCAGAAAATAGGGAAATTGATTATCAGACTACTGGTCATATCAAAATGGACAGGAGCCAACTTAAAGGGGATGCCACTGACCAAAGGAAGGGCAATTTGAGTATTTAAAAAAAAAAAAAAAAGACTGCAATAAGTTGAAAAAGTTTAAATATATTCAAGTCCACAATGATTAAAAAAAAAAAAAGGCAGAAACCCTCATGGTTACCTTTGGAGGTTGCTAGGCCCCCCACCACCTCATTACTGTAGTCTGAAAACAGAGGGAAAGAATTAAGCATTTTTCTTGCCTTTCCCGTACAAACTATATTTAAAATAGCTGATGGCAGTCAAATAGCTGGCAGGGTAGAGTTCTTCATAAAAGATTTCCAGCTAATAAATACTGAAGGAATGACAGGATTGGAAAATCACCGTTCTGCAACCCCTAATGCAATAATGAATATGGGCGATCTAAATCCATAAAAAGATTTCACCATTAAGTGAAAAAGCTCATGGGGAATTTCAGGATGGATGGATTGGGCTAACAATACCTGAACCCATTACACTGCTCAATCTTAACACAAGAGAGACAACTCAAGACATTTCATACCTCTCTGATAATTAATGCAATAGATTATCTACACACTACCTAGGAAATCTTATTGACCCCCACAAAAAAAAAAAAATTAAGGTTAAATCCGATCTTCTAGATCAGCGCTACTCAACATAACTTTCTGCAATTATTGAAATATTTTATGTCTGCACCATTTAGAGGGTAGCCACCAGGCACCTGTGACTATTGAGCAATTGAAATGTGGCTAATGAAACTAGGGAACTGAATTTTTAGTTTTATTTCATTTTAATTAATTTAAATAGCCAGAGCTGGCTGGTGGCTACTATAGCGCACAGTGCAATTCTAGATCTAACCACAGGTTTAAAGGGAAAAGATGTACATGTTAAAAGTATGTCATGCGGATGCAATCAGCTAAACCTAGAATACTGAGGGGGAAAAGGGACACAAAGGAACTGCTCTATTAAGAAAGATTTAAACAATGTATCAACCAAATACAACATGTGGATCTCTATGGGATTTTGATCTAAACGAGCTAACTGTAAAAAGTCATTTAAGGGACAGTTGGGGAAATCTGAACCCAGAGTGAATACTGACATGTAATTTTTATAAATTTTCGTAGGTGTGATGACAGAAATGCAGCTTTGTAAAACCGAAAAAGCAAATTTAGCTTTCAGAGAGGAAAAAAAAAACAAACAAACAAATTCAATCCCTGCAACCGCTGTTCATGTTGGCTTCAGATGAATTTCAAATCAAGTTGTGACTTTTTTTTTAAGTAGGTAACTCTGGGGGCGCCTGGGTGGCTCAGAAGATTAGATAAGTGGATTACTGATGCTGTCACAGCTGGCTACCACTACCACATAAATGAGAAAGGGAAGGACAAAGCAAAGGTCTTCTACCTTCTAACGGGGAGTAAAATGGCACAGTACAATTAACATACGCATTTATTAGAAATAATTTTTAAAACCTGAATCTACATACATTTTTAAGGGCAGTGTGACTGTCTAAATGTTTAGGAATCTCTAACCTGTTTTAATTTCATTTTTACTATACTGATCACTGAGAGTGATATAGTCGAAGGTCAAGAAGTTGTACAAATCTAAAGGCCGCACTGCATTTCAACTAAGAAAATACATATCCTTTATTGTATCATTAAGCTACAGCAATGATTAAGTATTTGAAAGTAACATGTAGTTGATGATCCTTATTATGACTTCGTCTTCACATCTATAAAATAAAATGGAATGCAAGTATGTGGGGAACTCTGTAACAGCAGTGTACCTACCCTACAATACTGCTTTATTAAAGGAATGAAATAATTTAAGGAAGCGGATGTAAGGTTCAATGAAAACTACTTCCTGCTAATAAGGGTACTCTAAATAATCACTGACTGCAGATTCGTTTTTACTCTGATGTTGTAAGGAACGTAAGAAAAACATTGGGCCTAGATTTACTGTCCTCAAATATCTTCACGATTAAAGTGCTCCTAAGTAACTGTCCCTTTTAAACCCTCAGTCTATCATTTATCTCCCACCCCTGATTTGTATGGAGCAATCCGTAAGCTCGGGGTTTCCCAACTTCTTCAGTCCTTCACGACTTCTGCCACACTTCGGTACTTCTTGTACTAACATTAACTCACTTTTTAAGAATTGCTAAATTCCCCCCATAAGTGAACTGGCATCACGTGCCTTCAATGGCCTAAGTCACAACAACGCTGGGAAGCTAACCAGATATGGCAGCCTAGGCGGGAGGGCTGTGCCGGGGGTCCCTCCTCTGCAAAGGAAGAGCGGCCCGCAGCTGGCTCCGCCGCGAAAGACGAGGACTCGGCGGCAGCTGCTCGCACCCCCCGCCGCCCCCCCGCCGGCCCGGCCTCTGGGGAGGGGCTGACCACCTGGCTGGCCCGGACAGCGCGCCGGGCAAGGCCATATCCGCCTTCGCGGCTCCGCAGGGCGTACGCGGGAAGGCCGACGGGCGGGGCGCCGCAGCTGACCCGGGCCGGCGAGGGCGGGCATGGTGGCCAGCGGGCTGCGGCGGAAGCCGGCCCCGGGCCATACGGCCGCGCAGCCCGCGGCGCCACCGCAGCCAGGGCTGCCTCCGGACCAAGACACGCCCGCCCCTCGCCCGTCCACCGGGCGCCCATGCGGTTACTGGGCCGCCGCGAGCGCGTCCCCGAGCCTTCCCGCCGTTACCTCCGGCGGGGGCGCGCACGCGCGTCTCCGCCGACCCGACGTCCAGCCTCCGTCGTCGCCACGTTCGTTCCGCCCACTGCCCCCTCACTTTTCATTGAAGTGGCGTCCTCCTAGACCGCCCCTCCGCGCAAGCAAATGGGCTTACCCACATCCGGGGATCGGTGAGAATGGCGCGCAGTCACGTGATGCTGAGAGGGAGCCTTGTGGAGGCGGGTGCAGGCGCTGGGTCCGGCGCGGGTAAGGCTTTCCCGCGCCCCTAGTCTTGGTTTTGGAGGGACGGGGACGCGTTGGTTCCTCAGCGTCTCCCTTTCCCAGCTCCCCTCAGTGGAGGCCGATGTCTTCACTTCCTCTTCACAGTCACTTTCCGCACGCCGTGGAGGGTGGAAAGGCACTTGCGTGGCGGTTCTGGACCTCCCCCGCGTCCACATTTGGTATATCCAGCCGGAAGCCGGGACTGGGGTGGTCCCACGCCTGTGTAAGGATGGTGGTGGCTTGCGAGGGTCAATTTTAGCGAGGGAGGCGGCCGTCCCATTTAGTTCACGTAACTACAGGTTTGCAGAACTGCAAAGCACAGGAATGGGATGAGACGTGCCGCTGCTCCGGGGAACACACACACCGCGGGTCTGGGAAAACCATGTAATGGGCTGTGTGACAAGCTCCCATTTGGGACCATTCGCTGCGCCCAGGAGACTAAGTGACCCCAGGAAGGATAGGTACCGAGCTCCCCCTGGGTCTAGGAGCACACTGTCAGCGGAAGACGACCGGGGAACCAAGTTTTTTAGACTGGTGGTTAGCTGGAAACAAAGGAATTGTAAAGAGCGTTCTGGGCATCGAAACTGTTACTGTGTAAGAAAAGTTTGCTCAGGAAGGTGGTAGTGTTTCATTCTGTCGAGTGTGGCAAGTGCTTGGGACAGTGGCCGTGTCCTGGACGTTGCCTGTCTTGATGCTTTCCACGCTTCCAGCCCCAGAAGAGTGAAGGCACCTTAGCGCCTGACTCTGGAAATAAGATGTTGACCAGATGAGCTGACACCAGTGTTGAGTTTGGAAGGAAAACAGGCGTCAGTGAGGCGGAAAAGGGGGCTTTTAAGGGCAAAGGCTGGAAAGTATGGCAGGGTTAGTGGTGTTTGGAAGAGGGACAATGAAAAAAGATTGAGGCCAAATTTGGGAACGATGTGTTCCAAAAGCCCATCTTTGGGAAAGAGTCTGCAAAATTTACGCATAATAATTGTAGACACGGATACCTGAGCAATCTGTTACAGAGACTGCCTAACTTTTTAGGTGGATCATAAAGACAAGAAGGAAAGGTTCAAGGGCAGAATGCTTACAGAAGCTGGAGTGATTTGAAGAAACTACAGAACAGAGGAATCTGTGTGTGACTGGGAAAATTACCTAGTTCTGATCAACTGGTAAAATGAGGGTATCCCAGGGGACAGAGCAGCAGGGACAAAGGAGTGGCAGCAGGAAAAAGGGTTCTTGTAGGAGAGGGATTCCAAAAATATAACTGGAGCTGTGTGTACGTTTCCTAAAGACAACATCCTTATACTTGTTTTGAGTTATCCACTGGGTAGTACTGAATTAATTTTTGAGTGAAACATCAAGGCTTCAGCTGTTTCACTGGTGGCCAAAATAGCTGGGCACCTTCTGCTTCAGTTTTGCCTGGCTCTTTACTATGGGGGTAAAAACTTTTATCCCACCCCAACCTGTATAATTATTACCCAGGCATTAGGGCTATGATGCAGTCATACTACTGGGTCCAAGCATGGGTCTGTATGAAGGAGTTGGAGTCCACCCCTAAAGATTGTTCCTTGTATGAGTGTTCATAGCTTCAGAAACTAGGAGTGACTGGGAGTGCCTTTGGTGCCATTGGCTTCCAGGCCATTGGCATGGCTGCTTTGTGGCAGGGAACACAGTAGAGTGATAACCCATGATGAAGCAGCAGAGCCCAAACTAGGAAACAGGAAATCCAGAGGTACCCTCCATGCTGGCTGCAGCTGTTTAGGAGAAAAAATGGAGAGTCAGTCATGGCCAAGGGCTAAGTAACATCTTGACCACTTGGTCCAGGCATTGAAGGGAGTATGGCATTAAAAATCAGAGGAAGGAACCCCAAAGGGAAGCAGAAATGAGCAGCAAGGAGTCCTGCTACTGTTGTTCACCTGGAGGTGCCCCTTTCAGAACTCGGGTTGGGCACTATTTTAAGAAAGGCAGTTTCATTTACAAATTCAGCTGAGGATTTCTGTCAGCTCTGTAGTTGGTCACTTTGCATAGCCCAGTTCAGTATCTTAGTACGTTCATTTAGCTCCTGTGCCTAAGAATGCTAATACTAAAGCCAAGTCAGGTAGAGACTTTTGTAAAAAGTAGTGCAGCAAAAGGCTAAAGGGGACAGAGAGGAGACTTGGTTATTAATCAGGGATTCATCAAAGGCATCCTGAGCAGGGAAAGGTGAATATGCAAATTAGGAGAGAGAAGCTATATTCTAGATACACTGTGGCCTTGTACACAAGGCCTCTGTCACACTGTGACACTGGTGTGTCAATAGGCTATATCTGCTGTCCTATATGTGCTATAAAACATCGATGGGGGGGAGGGGATGGGCAGGAGGGAGAGACTATGATCTTAGAAATAGATTGTCACCTGACCCAGATGAGAAGATGAGTCTTTCCCATTTCCCAGGGTGATGTTATACCAAAAGATACATGCAGGCTAAAAAGCCTGGGGAGTCCTAATGCTAGATTACATCACCTCCTCAGTCTTCATGCTTAAGAAATAACCTCTTTGGCTTACAGGTCTGACAAGATCAAAGCTGCAGGAAAATGGACAGTGAGGTACAGAGAGATGGAAGGATCTTGGACTTGATTGACGATGCTTGGCGAGAAGACAAGCTGCCGTATGAGGATGTTGCAATACCACTGGTAAACTATAATTTGTGCCAAGGATGGTGGGTTAAAGGTATGATCTGGTGAGCCCTAGTAGAAGTTGGATGTCAATGGACAAACTAGTAGGGCAAAGAAATCAAAGCTGTGGAGTTCTCTAACTGTAGAAGACACTGGATAATTTAACTTTTTATTTGAAGAGAACTGTGGTTCAGAGAGCTGATATGATGAGCTCAGTTAGGGGTCATGCCAGGAATGGACTCAAGACTTCTGAACCATGTTCTGTCTGCCACACCAAAGCTAGTAAACCAGATGATGAGAGTCCAATGTACAAAAGATGGAGAGGAACGAGAAGCAATGGCATTTACACTATATTTCTTACTTGTCTACCTATGGTTGATCATTTGCTATTTTTAGAGACATATTTTTGAAACACACACCTATCCTGGTTTCCCTGGAAAATGTTTGGAAGACACCTGGCTTTTCTCTTGCATTTAGACCAAAGGGGTCCCTCTTTTCTTTCCCGACCACTAGAGAACTCTCCTGCAGGGAGTTTTTTGAACCTCCTGTAATAAATGATCTAAAAGTTTTGCATTAATAAATGCTTTTTAAATCCTATTTATGTCATAGAGGCCTAACAAAAAACAAGGAGAAGAGACTCCAGGGACTGCTTTTCTTCAGAACCTGCCAAGTGCCCTGAGAAGAGCTGTTAATAAAATGCAGCTTCCAAGTAGACTGCTGCTGCTTCCTGAGAAATAAAATTCCGCTCACCCATATTTTCGTTTAAGACTAAGAGATGATATTATGCTCAGTGAATAATACACGTATCAGATAATAAGTCACAGCTTATTTCAAATTTAGAAAAATAGTCAAAAGAGAGTGCACAGTGAGAATTGTAGCTGCCACTTACTCAATACCAGTTTTATGCTGTGGACTGAGGTGGAAATTTGACATATGTTCTCTCTAACCGTTGAAACACCCTTGCAAGGGCAGTGGTGTTATCTCCATTTTACAGAAGGGAATAGGATCAGAGAGGGGAACTTGTGTAAAGCCGGGTGGCTGATAAGTTGGACTTCACACTTAGGTCTGTGTGAAGGCTCCAGATCCTGTCTTGTAAACTTTTGTTTGTTTTTTCACTTGACAGGCATTTCTTTGAAGCCTACTGTGTGCCATAAGACTATGTGAGCATAAACTACAGTTCCTGCCCCTGGGGATCTAAAGAGGCAACACATAGAAATAAGTAATTACAATAATAAATGTTACAAGCCGGGTTGTGAATAGCAACATAGGATAGGAGGTGGCTGATGCCTGTTGAGCATCAGGAAAGGCTTCAGAATGTAATATTTAAGCTGATCATAAGGGAGGGCCAGAAATTTAGTGGGGGTAGACAAGGGCACTCCCAGCAGAGGGGACAGATGTGCACAGGCTCAGAGTTTTGAAAGGCTTTGGGAGATGGTGAGACATTCAGTGTGGACAGAGACTATATTTGTCATCTAAGGTAGGCAGAAAAGATGGGCTTGGACCAGATTTTGAGAGAAGTGTACAATGCCATACTTAGACTTCATTCTGAGGATAACCAGGAATGTGTGGTCTTCAAAATAGAAATCTGCCACACTCAGATTTGAGTTTTAGAACGTCAGTTCCGAAGGGAATTGTTAGGGAATGTGTGCCATAGAGAAAGGGGCGAGTGACAGGGCAGAAGGACCAGTGAGGAAGTGATCACAATAGTGTAGGCAGGGAGGCGGGCCTGAACAAAGGCACGCCAGTGGAGGGGAACTGCTGGATTCTGGACAGGCTTATGGCAGGATCTGGGGACCACTGCTGTGGAAGGGGTTGAGGGAGAAGGAAGTTTCCATGCTAACATCCAGACTGTAGCCTGGCCGTCTTGTTATTCTGTCTTTTCCTGTGTCTCATGACTCTCAGAGAATGTGCACTGGTTAGCTTTTGTTGCTGCCTACAAATCTCCCCAGAGTGACTTAAAACAACAGCTGTTTATCTCATGATTTTGTGTCTCAGCTGAGAGGGTCTTCCAGTCTTTGCCAGCTCGGTTGATCCCTGCCGGACTCGCTGGTGTTCTGCAGGCAGTCAGCAGGCCAGCTGGAGGCTGGGGGATGGGGAGACTTTTCACATGTCTGGTAGGTAAGCAGGTCAGCTGGGATGATGAGGTGGCGAGGTCAAAGCCTCATTACCCAGCAGACTAGCCTAGACTGCAGATGGCCATCTCAGGGTTCCAAGAGCAGCAGGAGAGGGACTCTGAGGCTTCATGGAGCTTAGCCGAGAATGGGCCCATGGACGCTGCGGCTGCTCTCTGCTAGCCAAAGTAAGTCACTCAGTCAGTCCCAGTCTGAAATTGGGGAAATAACGACTCTGCCTTTTCATGGGGGTAACTGCCAACAAATGAGGCCAATTTGTAGTAAACCATAATTGACGGTTGTGTTTATGATACCTTATGATACTTTGTGTTGGTTTCCAAGCACATACACATTTTTTCATCTTGGCATTCGGTGTAAGAGACCGTAGTGACCAAATGAAAAAATACGATTTTAGAACATACACCACAGAGGGGCACCTGGGTGTCTCAGTTGGTTGAGTGTCCAACCCTTGGTTTTAGCTCAGGTTATGATCTTGGGGTCCTGGGATTGAGTCCGGCATTGGGCTCCAGGCTCAGTGCGCTCAGAGTCTGCTTGGGCGCACACACACACAGACAGACTCTCTCTCTCTCTCTCTCAAAATAAATAAAATTTCAAAAAAAAAAAAAAGAACATATACCACAGATAAGATGAAATTAAGTTGCTTGTCTGTCAATCAAATAATTCACTAACCAAAGACTTTTTTGTGCTTTGTGAGCTATAAATAATTATTGGAACCAAACTTTCTCTTTAAGTTTGAATGTATGATTGCTTTACAGTAAATGATAGGTTTTTGCAATTTGTACAAATATGTTTGAATCTCAGTATTATGTTTAAAAAACAACGTGTGCGGTTCAGATACATTTGTACATACCGTAAATCATTTTGTATATACTGAGCATAATTTTGAAGGAGAAAAACATTCATATACTGCAAATTGGAATCAGTGGGAAATTGAAAATCTCAATATTGAGTAACAGTTTGCTGCCCCCCAAAAAAGTATAAATTCAAATAATTGAAAAGCAATATATTGGTGTCAGTAAACTCTGGGACAAAGCAGAATCCTGGTACTAATAAATTTAAATTTAAAATATAAGGAAACTACCAAAAGTTTTTGGTAGTTTCCACACACATAAAAACATAGTTAACTATAATGAGGTGATGAATGTGTAACTAGCCTTATTGTGATAATCATCTCATAGTATATATGTCAGATCATCATGTTGTATACCTTAAACTCACACAATGTTTTATGGAAATTAAATCTCAAGCTGAAGAAAACACTATACGTCAGATTCCACACTAAGCGAGGCCACGGCTTACTGTTCTAAGAGTTACTGGCAGGGAGGGACAGGTCATTTACCGGGGTTTATGTCGCTGTGCTCCACTAGGGGGACGTCTCATCTACTATGGTACATTTTCAGTGCTCTCCACTCACCTCCATAAGAATATAGGCATGCTGGGTACAGGATAGTTTTTTTTTTTAATACATTTCTTGTGCTTAAGGAATATTCCAGCAAATGTGCTATTCAATTAAAGCAGCCTCCCAAAAAAGGACTCAGTGTTGGGTCTTTTCGGTGATCCGAGCCTCTAGGAATAATAGCAGCTATTCCTTGAGCATCAGATGGCCACCCACAGTGGTGAGCACTTGATCTCAATTACCTCATTTAGTTCCATAGCCGTCCTGCGAGGTGATGGCTACCTTTTCCTCTCATTGCCAGAGAGGAGACAAAGGGTCGATCTTTTTATCCCAGTTCTTTCTTTACGATTCACTTATGCTGCCTGTTTCTAAGAACTCACAGGTCTGAATTCTAAGTGCTCTTGAGTTTTAAAGGGTTTGTTAATGCAGAGTATACCAGCATTCTGAATGTCCATTGTACCTTTGCAGAATGAGCTTCCTGAACCTGAACAGGACAACGGTGGCACCACAGAATCTGTTAAAGAACAAGAAATGAAGTGGACCGACTTGGCCTTACAGTATCTCCATGAGAATGTTCCCCCTATAGGAAACTAATACCTGGCTCCTTCTTCATGGACAGATTTTTGAAAAATACATAGATACAAAATGTTTTCTTTCATCTCCTCATTCAGATCTTGAAGTGGTACATCTACACTCAAAAATGTACACCCACCTAGTTTTTGTGACAGCAGAATGCAATGTGGAAATACCAGAATGAGGAATTGATTGAGATTTCTCAGGAATGCTGAGTATTTGGCCCTTTGAACCAAAAGTTCTTCATTCACTAGCTTGTGTTTGAATGTGACTGGTACAGCATTTGCCTTTCACTCTGACTTTGCTTTACTGTCAGAGTTTAACCCATCCCATCTACTTACCTGTGTCCCGTGACATAGGTGACTGAAGACATGAGGGGATGGGCAAAGACAGGGAAGCCAGGTGTAAGGAGAGCGTTAACTTCTCACATGCCTCCCTCTGAGCCGCAGTGTATAGCACCTGCGGGTAGGATGGATGTCTGGGTAACCCACTCACTGATGGCTGGGATTCCTAAGATCCCCTGTGGCATTTTCAAAATTTATTTCAAAATAAATTGGCAGATTAAAGGTTATCTGGCAGGTACTTCTGCTCTCTACAAGTTAATAAGGTGCCACTGGAAAAGACCCTTGGCTGGCTGGACCACTAGTTTTATCCAGTAACAAGATTTCGTGTCTTCACAGTCCTTTCAGATACAACAGAAACACCATGAAGCCCGTGTGCAGTTACACATTTATATAAGAACTCATATTTTGAGGGGGGCCTGGGTGGCTCAAGTCGGTTCAGCGTCCACTCTTGATTTCAACTCAGGTTATGATCTCAGGGTCCTGGGGTCAAGCCCCAGGTCGGGCTCCATGCTCAGCAGGGAGCCTGCTTTGAGATTTCGCTCTCGCCCTCTGCCCCTCCCCCCACTCGCTCTCCCTCTCTCTCTCTCAAAAAATCTAAAAAAAAAAAAAAAAACTCACATTTTGTAAAGCACATCCATGGACATTTGTCTCCTGGAATTATTTGCCTCTGTTAAGTGGTGTCTCTCGTTTTCTTACCTAAGTTGTGAACTGTGGGAAGAGGCCCTGACTTATGTTTCTATATCCCTCACTCAAAAACTAGAAACACTGAATAATTGAAGCGTCTCTTCTGCTTTTTTTTGTTTTTGTTTAGGATTTTATTTGAGTACCTGCGCATGAGTGGGGGGGGCAGGTGGGGTGGGGGCAGAGGGAGAAGTACGCTCCCTGCCGAGCAGGGAGCCCGACGCGGCTCCATCCCAGGACCCTGGGATCACGACCCAGGCCAAAGGCAGATGCCCAACCGACTGAACCCAGGCACCCCTCTTCTTTTTTATGGGGTCTTCTTGTTTACCTAGCTTTTAGGAAGAAGTATATCACAAATGAGCTGATTTCAGGGTTTCCATCAGAAACAGGGTTGTGGCAACTCTCCTGTAATCCAGACACATCCAGGCTAATCTCCCTGTGCATCAGTGTCCTGCCTACAAGTCATTCATCTCAGAATAAAGACCCCAAGTCACCAGCCCCTCAATAACAAAAGACAGACAACCCAATAGAAAAGAGAATTAGAATGGTCAGAAAATATGTATACTAAGAGAAGTTTTTCAAAAAATGAAAGTGCCTGGGATGCCACGGTTCCTACACATTCTAATTAAATGAGGGTTTTACTACAACTTCCCTTGACGTATGTGACAGCTAAGAGGCTGACCTCTAGGAATCAAGGGCATGTTCGTACGAACCCAGCCTTTTCCAGGGGCATAGGGGGACGTAAGGTACAGGTAAAGGTAGGTGTAAAATGTGAGAGCTCTCTCAATTCCCACTGACTCACAGTATGATTGCCTGAAAAATAGCAGTTGATGGATCTGCTTGGTTTATACCCTCATCTAACAACTGCCCCCCCCCCCACGCCAAGTTTGACCTGTGATGTGGTGTCAGAAACCACAGCTCGCTGTGTCAGGAATTGGGTGACCAAACCTGGGCCACACCGTCCACTGCGGCTTTGGAATCTATGTAGGACCGGCTTGGGGCTGATGGCCACGAGAGATGCTAGGCAGCTGTTGTAGGGCAGTTTTTCAAGCAAATGTAGCGCAGCACCCGAAGAGGAAAGTCTGCGGAGCAAGGTTTGAGAGGCTGTGCTCATGCGGCGTCCAGTTCAAAACCGTGCATCACTCTTCTCTGTAAAAGGCACTTCACTTACTGTTGGGGATACAGCAGTGAACAGAAGTATGGCTTCTGCTTTTTAGTGGGGGAAATGAGCATCAAGCCAATAGTTGTACACATTTATGCTTTTCCATCGTGACATGTGCTGGGGAAGGGCAATAATGGGATGTCACTTAGGTTGGGTACTTAGAAGCAAAGCCTGAGGCCGAGTGTCTTGTGTGAGGGATTTAGTGAGGTTGCGCTCTCCGGAGGAGCCTGTGAGGGAAACAGGCTAGAGCGGAGGAGGAAGCTGAGCAAAGAGAGAGTATCAGGCTGAAGTCAAGCCTCAGCCAGGTTCCATAGGTGCTCCGGAATTCACGTGATGTCACCACATTTCCCCACCTTGAGGCAAGTGGCTAGGCCTTTGTATTCAGTGTGCAATGTACAGTCGTTGGTTCTGCCCCTCCCACCGTCCCCCTGGGAAGACATACCCTAGGCATTGCCAGGGGACCAGGCTGTCCGGAGGACAGTGCAACCATGAACTCTTGGCAGCCAGCACAGAGCCAGTAGTCAGAGATGGGTGTACCAACAGACCAGACTGGGCCCCAACAGTGCGGCCCTACACCAAAGCGTATAGAGAGTGGGACTGGGAGACCTGACTTAGATTGGATAATCACGGTGAGACCTTGTAACAGTAGCCTTTATAGCACATAACTTCAAATATTAATTTTGTTTATGAATTTTTCCTACTCCGAGTGGTTGGGTCCTTCGAACTTCTTGTTCCTAATGGAACGGATGAGTTCAAAAACAACTTTACCCCTTGCTTGGGAAGCCAGGGAGGGATGGAGAGGAGGAGCCTCTCAAGAGTAGTGGAAAGCTGTGCCCCAGTTGCTGGTGGTACCCAGTGAGACGAGCTTCAGAGGCTCGTGATTTTGGGGTGTTTTCCAGCCTAGGCAAAGACCCCCAAACATTGGAGCCACCTCCTTCCAGAGCCCCTCAGAATTGGCCATGAGTATAGCAGCCGTGACCCAGATAAGCTGAAGAATAGAGGTCCTCGCCCACTTTCGAGGTCACTCATGAACATCCCAAATGCTTGTGAGACCCTAAAAGGAGGAAACACCCCAGTGACCACAGATTTAATTTCTGCTGCAACACAGCAGAGGCCAAAAAAAATTAATTTGCTTTGAAAAAAATAAAGTGTGCTATTTCTCGTACCTTCCTTGAGTGTATGAGCCAACACCCAAAGGATGGGAAGGAAGAATTTAGGGGATGAGGATCGATGGCAGGGAGAGCGAATTGCAAAAAAGCCCAGAGGTGAGACTGGCCTTACAAGCAAGGTGGGCAGGTAAGCTGGGGGAGCTGGGGGAGCTAGGGGAGCGGCCCCAGTCAGATTTTATTTTATCAAATAGAAGTTACCCTGGGTTTGAGCAGCTAAGAACAGAGGTGGAACAGCAGAAGAGCTTTTGCACTGGTTCAAGAGAGAGATGAAGGTGGCTTTAGCTAGCAAGACAGAGGTGGAATTAGAGGGACCAGGGGTATCTCTTAGAGGGAGAATTGTCCAGATGGGCCCAGTGAGAAGTATATTTCATGAAGCCAGCACCCTAATCATGGTTGTGGGGTTCAAAAGGAACTGGAGTGCCCACTGTGAACACTGCCCTTGTGACCCAGGGGCAAATTCTCTGAGCCGGATGCAGGCCTCCAGATGCAGCCCCTGCCCCCTGGGAAGGTAGGACCTGCATCCAGGAGCTGCCCATCCTTTGAAGCCCATTAGACCCACTTCTTAATAATAGAGTAACAGTAACAACACCCACAGTTAACTGAGCGTTTCTGAGTGCTTCAGGCACAAGATCCAGCCCTCATATCCACTTTTGAACGTGGATATTATTGTCCTCGTGATCACGAGGTGGTAACTCAAAACCGAACAACTTGTTCCAACTTGAAACCACTCCAGTAGTAAATGCATTGCAACCTAGGCTGGCTGATCTCCAAACCCATGTCCTCTGCCTGGACCATGCAGCCTCCCCTATGGGATCTTCTGTGACCACTCCTCTCTGAAATGGTAGGATATCCTACTGGAACATTTAGTACTTCAAAATGTTTACCTCGTTTCCATAATTGAGATAAAGATCTAAAAAAAAATTGTTGGGAACTCAGGAGTCATGAAACATTTAAAAAATCCACTTATTACCAAATCCATATGTAACTTCTATAACTCACAACTGTATCACTATGACTCATACTGTTGTTTCTGGGTATTACACGAGGTTAATTCATTAACGGTGTATTTTCAGATGTTGGTGCTTGGTAGTGGACAGCTTAATGGCGATGCTATTTACCCAGCAGGGGGTGCTCTATTCCTTTGAGAAAGTCTGACTCGCAGGCAGCTCTTTTGGGAAACTAAACTGAGGATGCCCAATAAATATGGTGTTTTGCTTGGAAGTGATTCTGCAGATCTTGGTTGCCCCAAGTGCTGGGTAGGGGTTTGTGTAAATCCCTGGGATTCTGGCCGGCCACCCTTTGTGGGCTCACTTAGTGGGCTCCTCACTTGTGCTTTGTGAGGGGGCCAAGTGAGGGCACATGGAAGGTGAGGGCAGTTCAGAACTTTGATTACAGAGAAAGGTAGCCGGAATCAGGAATTGTGCCAGACTCTGACCCCAACCTATATTCATAGTCAGGCCTGGGGACTCTCATTAAGCTATTTCCCAGCTCTCTGTGTTAAATTATTTGGAGAATTTAGGCATCATCCTGGAACAATCCATTAGGCTCCAGAAAGACTATTTTTCCTGTCCTGATCTGGCCCTGTTTTACCCACAGTTATCTTTGTGCCCCACTTCCTTGCCGTGCTGCACCCTGTCGGTGAGCTCCTATAGAAAGCGGACGAGGGGAAGGGGCCACCATGGAAAGGCCTCCAGATGGTCTCTTGAATAGACTTCACATCTTGTGGCCTTTCTGGCCCCAGTGGTGGCCTTGGCCTCTGCCCTTGGGCCAACCGGGTCCCACTTCATGGACATGCAACCTGGGTGGCCACCCAGGGCTCCCACTCAGAAGAGCCTGCTGAGGCTATCTTGAAATACTTAACAATCATTGAACAAGGGGCCCCATAAATTATAGAGCTGGTCCTTCAAACTATGGCAGCCATCTGTAGGAGTTCCCTGTTGGACGCTGACCACATGGACCCAGCAAATGCCCTCAACTGGGAATGAGAATTCAAGCCACCAACTGTCTGCCTTTGGGGTATCAGAAAAGTAGGCACATCCAAGAGAAGGGACAGGAAAAAAGCCGGGGCAAACCTGCAGGCATCCTGAAAGCTCTTCCCGTTCCTCATGAAATCCTACAGACCCATTGCTGAAATTGTTTCCCGAGCTTGACTGAGTCCTCTGTTATTGTCACCACCTGAAAACTAGCCCATCCTACCCACAGGGTGAGAGGGTAG